ATTAATAACAACTAAACTTCTCAGATAAACTGTTATTGACTATGTCTACAAGTCATGTGATTCTTGACAGTTTCTCAAAGGTTTCCTGTTTCTCAACCATGCAGAACCATCAGCATGGTGTTAATTTTTGGAAACCCATGAAGAGTAGCAGTGTCAGCAGTCTGCAGACTCAGGAAGCCAAGAGCATACTAATCTCTGTGTGGAAAAAGATCCTGAAATCTACATTCCACAAAAAATCCTACACTTCAGCCCCTAGATAAAATGACTGTGGTCAAAACCTGGCAAAGCCTATGCCACAAATTAAGATACCACTTGACAAGGAAGGAATAAAAATCCCAACCTGCCCCCCCTCCACTTCTAACAATCTTTCAACATGGACTAAATATGAAACTTAGAATTACACAGAGATACTGAGAAACTCTAAAAACAATGTTCCCTATCTTTGGAAAGAGAGGAAAATAGTGAATTCAAGCAGATTATTAGTGGATAGATATGCCTGCAATTCTAGAGATATTCTTGATACCAGTATTTGAAAAGCATCACAAAGAATGAACTAGTACAGTCCCTCACCAGTATTTTATATGCATGAGGTAGAAAACTGGAATTTTGCACTGAATAATAATGACAATGGAGCTGAACTGTCTTTGATTTACCAGCCGTTTTATTAGGCAACTTAGACTCTGCCTTCTGTGTGAGAGACAGGGGTGTGGAGATTATCAGTTCTGTCAGTGATGTGTTCATTATTTACCTTTCAAACACCAGTAGAAATAAGATTAACTTTGGCATGACAGTTCCTTGTGATATTCTATAATACTATCACACTAACCTGCAAATAGTCAAGATTATAAAATAAACTTTTAAGTAATAAAATAATTATTTTAAATAAATCATACCAATTTCCCCCACATTATCCTTTACACAGTCTATCTAATCCCAACTTAAAGTTTTGGTACTTGTTGAATCAATAAAACTGCTATCATACAGATAAATAAATACATGCATAAAATCAGTTTTAAACGCAGGCAAAAAAACTTCCCAGGAACAAAAAAAAAAAAAAAAAAAAAAAAAAAAAAAAAAAAACCCCAAAACCCCCAACAAACTAACTGAAACCTACATTTGTTTCACCACACTTCTGAAAAATAAAATATTGTGCTGCTTTTTTCTGCTCTTTGTTATTCATGCTAGAATTCTGTTTTTGGTGAAAAATTTGTTCTTTCACAACGACTTCTGTGATGTGTGAGAGTACTTTGGTGGTATATGATTTGGTTTTTAATTTTATGGAAATAAGCATACATTTTATAAAAAGGGGACAAAAATATTTAGAGGGCCAAAAAAAGTTATTTAATGGTAAGACATGAAACAGTGCATATGCCACCACTGAGTAATTTCTATGAGCAGCCTTTGCCTTCCTTACCCCATCTGGTCCTCATGTCTCTAACACCCACTCACTGTGTTACAATAAAAATTATATTAAGATCCTTCAGACAGGATTCTGTATTTCTGTAAGGGCTCTGAAGCACCTAACATAAATCTGGAATCTGTAGCGGGAAAAAAAAAAATAAAAAAGAAGAAGAAAAAAAGAGATGAGAGTCCAAGCTTTTAAAACTTCATTTGCAGGTTCAGCCATCTGTGGATACACTGTCACCTTATATGGCAGGAGCATTTTGTTCCATGATTCTGAAGGAAAGGAGAGAGTCCAACTAGCATGATCAATACGATATTGATTATATGCACCATTTACGTCCTTATCACAATGTTAGATAAGACATGCAGTACCAGCTGTGAAGTAAACACGTCTTTGACATGATACTAACTGGAATCAAGGTTGCCCCCAAGTACTGTGCATATTTTTTAGATTGCACTTTTACCTATATATATATATAAAATCTATTACTACTATTTAGAAAGGACCAGGACATATTAGTAGATTGGAATCTTTCATGTGATGAACAAAACACTTATTGAGTGGAAAGATGAAGCTCAAGTTCTGTTATATTACTGCCCTGACGCTCATCACCTCCCTGTACTTGCTTTTCTGCATGGCATGGCATGGCATGATCTCCATAGACAATATTTTGCTGTCAGAAAACAATCACTTGCAAATTAAATGTGCTTTACTCAATAGAAGTCTTGGCCAAAAAGAGCATTGGTTTTACTACGTAGAGAATTTTTACGTCTAAAAGAATGCAAGTGTTAAGCATGCCATGGGACACACTCAGGTTCTGATGTGGTACTATTGAAGTTAATGAGGCTTTTGGCATTCAAAGATTTGCAAACAGGGATTCTTCACACTTCGTGAAATAGAAGATGAGCATCTAAAAGCTCACTTCAGATAAAATCCCTTAACTTAGCTATGCTTGTTTTTTAATGGCTTGAACTTGAAACAACATGAACTGTTTGGTCTTGCTGACAAATTTCCAGTGTAACTTCAATGTAAGCTACTAGATCTGCAGTCTCTTAAAGCTCAGGCTAAACAAAAATAAAATTGATTCCCAAGTTGGTTCCCTGCCCAAATCACAGAGTTCTTTAACAGAATACCAGTCTCAGTGATTGGTGCAAGTGTTTCTACATTTTTGGATACTTCAGATATTTGTATAAAAATTTAAATTCATCCACTTGCTTGGGGCTAGGGAGCAAGGGGTTGGGAGAGAGAACAGAGCCTTTCATGCTATTCAGCTCTGCATAGAGCAGTCCTGCTTCCCTGACACACCAACTGCATGCTGTGTCTACAAGCACAGGGGCTGTCATGATAATATCCAGTGTCTGGGAAGCAGATCCCAGTTGCGAGGAAAGGTCCATTCCAGCCCTTACAAAAAAGGCTCAGCTGCCCTCAGGCCAAGCAAATAAAATTCAGACGAGGTGGCCTTTATTTATCTTTAAACACCCAACCATTACAAAGTTGTTCTTTGGAAAAGGAAAAAAACTTCTTTGTAAGGGAAAAGTCCCTTTCATACATGGAGATGGTCTTCAAATCAGAAGACTTATTCCTTGCCAAAATGCCACAATTCAGTGTGCATTTCTGTGACACAAGTTCACAGACCAGTTATTTCTCTTGACTGAGCCGGTTTCTGCCTCCTGTTATCAGCAAAGCATACTGTTTTGGGAACTGCATACAAACCATTGAAATTACTCTGGTGGGGGAGATGGTGATGAAGAAGAAGCATAGATATGTTACATCAGACGTTAGTCAACTATTTCTACGCATTCTCAAGCCACTTTCTTGCCTGTTGAATAAGTGAGTTAAACTAGTGTGAATGGAGAGAGCTAGCAGATTTCTTCTCTTCAAAATGTTTCACATTCTCGACCTTGGTTAGATAATTTAGTGAGCAGACGTTATTGTCAGCTTCTTTATGTTACTCATCTAGAAGAGCAGATGCAGCTTGGCATCAAGGAAAGTCTGCTTGTGTGTCAGGGTAGCCAGGATAGCCTGGGCTCCCATAAGGACTAATTGGCACTCCAGTAAAAAGGAGCTATCTTCAGCCCTATTCAAAAAGAATATTCTAGTGTTTTTAGCATCCTTCCAGATGCTTTTTAGGAAGGCTTCTCTCCGTGCTCCTGCATTTCATCAGCTCTCCCCTCTCCTGGAAACTCTAAATCACATATTTAAAAATAGACCATCAGATTATCTGGGTAAATCATAAAGCTCAGCTTATCTCTCTCTTCCTCTTCAAAATATACAATTTATTTTGTCCACCAGCTCAGCAGCTTGAAGCCATCAATAATCCTGTTTGTCTCAGTAACCCCACTCAGTGATTGTCCTGGTATATTTCTATTCTGTGCATGTATGTCACACTGGGGTGTGTGTGTCTGTGCGAGCATGGAAGAAGGATCCAGGAATTCACAGTTCCAGGCACAAAGGTGCACAGTTCTGCTGCGTTTATGCCCATGTCAACTGTGTACGTCCTAGCATCGCAACACAGCCTTACACGCTCATGGAGAATAATACCAGCATTTTGCAGAAGTAATGTACTAAGTACTTCAATTTTGTATTAAATTGTTGTTTAACACCAATCTGGATGACAGGAGCCGTGGCTTCTCCTGAGGGCAGGCATAATCAATGCATGCAAGGAAGGACACAAAATTTTTTCAATTCCTCTTTCCCAGCGGTTCAGACGCACCACATAATAGAGCCTTCAGTGGCAAACCCCGACTGCCAGCCCACACATTTCCTATACGCGTATCTCCTCATCCTCCTCCCCCTGCCAGTGCGGCCCATCAGGCCACGAGAGCCGGAGAAAGCCCTGCAGGGATATAAATAGCTCCTCGGGGGAGGAGGGGAGAGTGCAGCAGCACGTTTCTAAAGATGCTAGCTGCAGACGGAGGTTTTGCTGGATTAATTCAGAGGGGAGAGAGAATCGCTAGGAAGCTCACTGCCATCGTAGGCAATGTCTGTGGAAAGGGGGCAGCAGCTGCCATGGGGAAGCTGAAGGGGGAATGCCCCGCTTGCTGGGAGAGTTCCCTCTTTGAGTGTCCCACCTATTTCACATCGTTTCCTCAGAGCCCCCACCTGCAGATGGGCTGTGTACAGGCACGAAGGGCCCATGGCTGAGACAGCGAGGACACGAACCAACTCGGTGGAGGTGTTATAACCACACGCAGCTTATTGTCTGTGCCAAGTTTGTACAGAGCCAGGTGGTGTTACTGATGCGCGCTGCATTGCACTGACCGTGCATGCGGTGCTCTGAACTTGCCCCGGGAGTCGGGCACGGTATCGCTGGCTTCCCTGCCCCATCCCCGGTTTTTCTTGGAGAGACAAAGCCGAGAGGTTCCGTCTCCCCAGAGCCGCCCTATCCCCCCCTGCCTCCCGGAAACTTTCGGCAACTACAGACACAGACGCCTGAGGCACAGGTGCGCGCTCGCCCCTTCCCTGCCGGGCGCAGCCCGGGCACTCCTGCCTCGCCCGGGGCCGCTCCGCTCTCCCTCCCCCCGGCGGGCCGGCACCGCGGGCTCTGCGGTGCTGCAGTGCCCGGCCCGGCCCGGCCCGGCCCGGCCTCTCTCACCGTCCTCCAGAGCCGCTGCCGCTTGGCACTGACGGAGGTGGCGGTGACGATGAGGTGGGAGACGGACACCACCAGCCCGAAGACGATGGCCAGCAGCGTCCGGACGGGAAGCAGCGAGTAGGAGACGAAGGTTACCAGCATGAGCTGCCACATGCCCTGCTCGGGGGCGCTGGGCGGCTCCATGCCGTAGGCGCCGAGAGAGAAGGGGCAGCAGAGGAAGGAAAAGGTGAAGCTGAAGAGCAAGGTGAGCTTGACGATCTGCTGCAGCTGGGTGACCTGCAGGTACTTGACATTGGTGACGATGAAAAGGGAGAGGAAGATGATGCAGTGCACCGGGTGCGAACCTTTGGAGATGGTCAGGCTGGGGCCGGAGAGCAGCTCCACCAGGGCTAGGCTGGCAGTGAGCACGATGAGGACGGCCAGCGCCTTGAGGGTGGACGTCTGCTCCAGCTTCAGGTTGTAGCTCTGGAAGAGAGCCTCCAGCTCCTTGCAGTCAAACTCGTCCTCGCAGGCGATGGCATCCAGCAGCAGCAAGGGAGGGGGGTCTCCCAACCCGGCTCCCGCTCCCGACGCCGCGGCAGCCGGCGGGGAGCAGCAGCAGTGGCAGCACTTCTTCCTCTTGGTCTTGACTTTCTGAAACGGTATTTCCTCCATGTCAGTGCCATTCATAAACCCGGGGAAGAAATGCTCCTCCAGGTGTCCCCCGCTGCCGCTTTGCCTCCTCGCTGCTCATAAAAGAGAGGGGGGCTGCGCGCAGGAGCCGCGGCCGCTCGCCCGCCGCTCGCCCGCCGCTCGCCCGCCGGCAGCCGCCGGCGCTCCGCGGGCGCGGGTCCCGGGCACACCCGCCTGCCACCGTCCGCAGCCCGCCGCGCCGGCAGACGCCCCCTCCGCTGCCACCCAGGAGCCGGGGGTGGCTGGGACGGCGGGAGGAGAGTCTCACTCGTGCTAATGTGCCAACCTTCCTGCCTGCAGTCTCGCTTTCCCCTCCACCCTCCTCCTCCTCCTCCTACTCCTCCTCCCCTGGTGCTCCAGGGATGTTAATCTCCTAATGACACCAAAACACCATCCAAAGGTTTGGAATCAAACAGAGGGAGGGGTGGGGGCAAAGGGTGGGTGGAAGCTCAGAAAAGGGGACACGGGGATAATCAACAGGCGGCTTTGCCTTCAGATAACGCTATTTGGAGGAGCGGGAGCTACAGAGGAGAGCAAACGGGCTCCCGTGAGGTGGGCAACGTTAAAAAAACAAATAGCCACTAGGGAGAAAAAAAATTAATCCGAGCCAGGGGTCTGGAGGAAAAGTGCTGCATAGGGGCCGGAAAGAAAGAAGGAGGCAGGGAATGGCAGGGCGATCCCCTTCCCAGGTTCGAGAGCATCTCACCGGAGCTGGGGATTGAGAGGCGCCTGCGCGCCGATCGCTTGGGAAGCCGGACACGTCCCCACCGGGGCTCCGCGACTCGGGAGCGGCGGGGGACCCGCCGTGCCTGCAGAGCGCCCCGCGTTCCCTCTGCTGGGCGCCCGGGGCCTCTGGCATCGGCCGATGGCTGGCAACCCCTCGCTGCCCGCCTGTCCTGGCAGCTAGTCACATATATATATATATATATATATATATATATATATACACATAGATACATGAATATATACATAGAGATATACACATACATACATGCATACATGCATGCATATATATGTGCGTATGTGTGCATGTATAAAAAATCTACATATAAAGACATAGAGATACATGTAAATACAAATACTTTTGTAAATATATATATGTGTATATATATATAGAGATATATATGTTTGTATAGATGAATCCTGCTTCCTTGCAGAAATAAAGTAGTATCTGACTGAATAAATATTCTGATGTTGCTTGCTTTGCCTCCTAGCTCCGATGCAGTGGGAGAAAGTGTAGTGAAAGAGAACATTTTCAAGAAAACACATTTCTGTGCGCACTTCTGCCTGTCTAGGAGTACAAATCAGTCAGTGGCTGTGGAGGGTTACTCTTGTGACAGGAGTTGACTATCACCCTACTCAGAATTGTGCTTCGTGCCTCATCAAGAATTTGGATGCGTTGTTTTAGGGGAAAACCCTCTAGTTCTGCCTATAATGCTGCTATCAGATACTATTACCAAGTTGCCACAAAAGAATACACTGCAATATGCTTTTTTATAACCACTGCATCTAATTTTGGGATTACGAGGCTGATTTCAAACTCACCAAAGATTAGAGAAAGGACGCCAGTGTTTCTTTTAGGTTCGGGTCAAGCATTTGTAAGAGTCAGGTCTAGGAAAATGTCAAAATAGAAGACTAAGGTTATGAAAATTTGGCTTTTCAAAGGCAGGGCAGGGATACTTTCCAGAATCAAAGCAAAATTGTACTGTCATGCATAGGATGAAGATCTAATCACTGATTTTTGTGTCAGTGATGTCCGATTCTGGTTCCAGATTTGGGCTGGAAAGTGTTAAGATCAGCAGTAGGCAGGGATTCTTTAAGATTTGTTATGGCTGTGAATGATGTTGGTACTTCACTTCTGGATAGTAAAGCAGCATTAAAAATTTTTCTGATACATAATCTAAGGCAACATATTTTTTATATTAATATTTTAGTATTTTATATTAGGCCATTTCCCTACAGACTTATATGCATTCATTCTTTTGAATCTGAACAGTCCTCATCAGGAAAAGAGAATTAATTAACATTGCTGGAGTCTGTGTATTACAGATTCAAAATATTCCACACCTGGGACAATGACTTTACTTTGTGTTCACAGGATGCAACTCATGGTGGTTTCCTAGACTGTGACTTAGACCCTCAAACACTGCAGAACTGTAAATACAGCTGATATTTAGAGTTCTGTAACATCCTTCCAGAAGAAAGTAAAGGGGTTGGATTGCTGGCCTGAGTACTGGAAACAGGAAGAGATGTTTAGCTGAAATGAAATTAAATCTGACAAACAAAAAGATACTTCCTTTGTTTTGCGGGATCTCTCGTGTGTTTGAAAAGCTTAATAAATTAATCTCCTTATTCATTTTGATGCATAAATTCACTTCAGTCACACATATATTAGACAAACACACACTGTTGTGTTTTTACCTGTCCTCAGTTTTTTTTCTGAGTTCATATATCCTGAGGGATAAACTAATATTTCACATCTCATAAAGTATAAGAGGTGGCACCGAGTTGCCCAGCCCTAGGAACTATTCACTGAAAGAGTTGTCACGCTAGCAGTTATCATTTTTCTCTTCTGGCTCTCAGCTTTCTGCTGAGGAAATGGAAGGTGAGTAATTCCCTACAGGGCACCCTGTGGTTTGGATTATTTTCATGCTTCTTACAGCCTCAGGTTGGGTTAGTTAGTGCTTGCATAAAGCAGAGAAAGATGATGTGTATGAAACACATACATCTTCATTCTTGCTAGGTCAAGGGGAAGCAGTGAACTGTTGAAGCTTCATCTTCCTTAGACACTGTAGGTGTATGGAAATGCCACACGGTGATTAATGAAACTCTGCCATCCTTTATACACTGTTTCACATCACAGGGCAAATACTTCACCATACTCTCCATAGCGAGGAGCCCAAATTTTAACACCTGATGGCACAAATACAGAAAAGAAACCTCAAAGCCTTTGTCTGAGACAGGCATAATATTAAAGCAAATAACCAGCTATAAAACTGCTGGAATGCACTTGACATGGAACCACATTTTCTGCTGCAGATGACAGTAGTTTTCCTGAGGTTTTTTTGAACTATAAACAACACTTGGACTGTAGTGAAATTCTGGCTCATTTCTAAGAAAGATATCAGGTTGGTTTTGGTAGTTATTGCCCCCAGAATACTGGACCTTGGCCAGAACCTAGTCAGTTCTTTCTGTTGAATGCTCTTCCATTTGCAATCAGAGACTGCTCTGGGAATGAATGTAGTATTGACAAGAAAAAGTGATTAGAGCCTAGCTTTATCATCTCTAGAACTGCAAAACCTATCTGATTTTTAGTTTTTTTTTTCTAAGAGGCAAATTGTCCTGGTTATTTGAGTCACTGGAAGTGAAAAACAATTTTTATGGGGAGCCAGGCTGTATATGGATCTAGGTTACGCTAATTACAAGTCTCACTGCCTTTTACTGGACCATAGTCTTGAATTAAAGAGCTACTCAGAGTTTCAGTTCCCACTCAGTTCCTGCTTCCCCAATCTTTTTTTATTTACTTTGTGCTTGTAGATTCCTCACTCAATAATTTTTCACTATAATCTTATTTTACTTTACTGAACTCAGTACTTGCTTTTTCTACCTCATGTTCTATAACAGTTTCAAGCATTCACTGCCTGGTGCATTAGGTGGAGATCGTCTTTAAAAGCAATACCTTTCATAAAAGGGGAGCTCTTCAGATTCAGGACAATTTTAGAACTAAGCATAATGAAAGTTCTGCATTGATAGATTTTTTTTTCTTGTGGCAATTTTTGTCTGAGTAAGGATTGCAAAGATTTTCATCTTTTATCCATATTTAGTATTGCTTACCTGTAACAGAATGCCATGCTCTATCATCTGAGACAGGGATAGAAATCTCTTTTTCTTCTCCCTGTCTCTGACAGTAAGACTAAAGACTCTGCATAAAGCTATTGAGAAATTTCTGCAGACTCATTCTAGCAGGCGCAGCTTCTTAATGCCACCACAGAAATTTATCTAGTGAGAGAAAAGCAGTGATATGGGCAGGACAGAAAAGATCCAGCACAAAATGGTAGGAATGACCAGGTTTAAATTTAAAAATTGAACAGTGTTTTCCTCCTCTCATGGATCTCTGAATTAAATTCCCAACTTCTAGATTTTGAGGAAAAGTTTGAAAAAAGTGAAAGTATGTTTTTCCAAATCATGCATAAATTTCATTTGAAACCAATCTGGGGACTCCATTCACAGTCTTTTTTGAAGAAATGTAGAATAGATTTCTAAGAGGCTGCTGAAAATGCTGAAAATTGTCTGAACAGGTCTCATAAGCATTATAATGACCGTTCCTTAAAATTGTGATTTTAAAGTTTGACTTATGGTACATGCATTTTGATGGAGAAGGAGTGAAAGACACCGTTCTGATACATACCACTTCCACAGTTAAACAACTTTATCTGCAAGTTTGAATTCACCTAGCAAGAGCGCTTCTCACTCAGTGACAAACCTGTGCCTTAGCTTCTGCTCAGGTCTAACAATAGCAGTTTTGTTCAGTTTCCATTGGACTGCACATTGTTTTTATCACTCAGATTATTTTAATCACTATTCTATCTGTAGAGAAGTCTGTCTAATTGTGTAATCTCTTGGAGAGAAAAGAAAAAAACAAAACAGATGAGAAAAAAATTACATTAAGGCCTTGACCTCAAGTCACTTGTCAGACAAGACTGCTGCTGAAGCAATTAGGACATTTGACAGAAAAATAATATGCCTAAAGTGGCTAATTTGCCAGCAGAGAAAGGGGATGGGTTTTCTCCAGACCTCTGCTGAGCAGAGAGTACTGGCATTAAGAGCATTTTAATCCTTTACCTCTCTCTTCTATTTTAAGCCTTCCAGGAGAGCATGAGATTTCTGTGACCTACTGAACTTCTATATTAATACTAATGAATCTCTTCAGTGAGCAAGCAATGTTCTTTCCAGCCAGAATGGACACATAGCAGGTCAGCCAGATCCTTCCAGCTTTTGACCAGTCATTCATTTTCTGCATCAATACTGTATCACCTCTGAT